AATCTGAGGTTCTGCGCGCTCTGCTGCATAAGGATTTTCATAGCTAGTGATGGATGCATCTCTGGAGAGTCGCTAAGTCTAGCTCAAATGAGCACTTAGAAGATGAACAGCTTATTAAATTAACTATATATGACAGGGTCCCTCCCATCAAATCAGCTTCCTTCCCAGCAGCAGCACTTTTGGAAGGAGCCGCAGAAGCTCCCTCACCATTATGGCCATTACCATAGGCAATAGTTCCCAGCACATCTCATCTCTTCTCTTTGTTGTGTTCTGCATAAGATGGTTTATGTGGAGCCATCTTTTTGGAGGGACTGAAGCAGGCGCTTTCTTTGGCACTAGCCATCTCTAAATTCACTGCTTACAAGTCCACTGCTATGTTAGCTTGGGCTCAGACTTCATGCTCAAGTCTGACTTCCCAGCTGTGCCCACCAGCCCACTTCGCGCAAGCTCCCTTCTGCATTCTCTTCAACTCTGGGTCTCTTGTAATCTTCTGTTTTACCATTTATTAGCTCCTCATGCAGTGTATAGCTCTTGGCAAAGTTTGCCTCTCAGTTTTATTTCTTCACTTGTATGTTGGGAGTCCAGAGCCGAGATCTCTGCTGCTTCAGATCACACAACTCTGCTGTCAGTTCGCAACTTCCCAGTGCCAGTTGATACCAGCTGAGGATTCGGTCTGAAATCTCCGTGCCTGTTAACCCTTCTAAAGCGTGAAAACATTTATTTAAATTTCCTCTTGTAATCTGATTAAAACGGAAAATTAGGTCATCTACCAAAGGCTTGATCTAGCAAATCCTTATTTATGCGAGTCTTCTTGACACATAGACTAGATGCATATAAATTTTCAGTATCTGTTAATATGTTTATGCTGTGATGCTATGAGCTTACAGGAAAAAAAAATGAGCAGAAAGGCCAGTCAATGACATGAGAGACAGAGGAATTGAAAATACACAAAGTGAAACACTGTCACCAGCGACACCAAGAGCAAACAACTTTTTTTTTTTTTTAAAGTTACATCTTAAAAGTATTTATGAAAAGGACTATATGATCCATCTATTCTTAATCAGCCTGGAGACCAGTGAAGAGCTCTAAATAAAAAGCAAATCTTAAAATTGTCACCCAGAAAATGGTTACCTGGTACCACTCCCATTGTCATTCAGGCAAATTTTCACAAGACAATTAAGCAATTTAAAACTGAAGCAGGATGAACTTATGTTAGTAAGCAAGCATTAGTAATGCTTCAGCTTGACTATCTGAGCTGAAAACAAATGTCTCCCAAAGGGAAAGCAGTACAGAAACTTCGCATCACTTCCATAACATTATTGTTGTCTTATAATAAAGCATTGAGTAAGATGCTACAGCGTGTCAGGCAACCACTGCTCTGAAACATAACCCGCGCAAACAAGATGATCCTTAGCTGATGTCATTAGTCATAAAACCTTCTTGTGTTTTATCCTTCCCCAAACAGATTTATCTAACATTGCTCATTTTCACAGAGCTGCAAGTACACAGAAAAGCCCTCCCGTATTTGCAGAATCTTAAACTTGAGTTGTAGACTGCTTACAGATAAACTTCCAAACACGAATCTGCCAAGCTTCCTCTGCCCAGAGCACAACCAGGGAAAACAGCATCTGTATTAACGCCATGAAAGCTCGACTACTATGTTCTGGGTAATAGCTCAGAAACTGTTAACTACGTTGAGATCAAACGCATACTCAAATAAAGACAGACAAACAATTAATTTGGGCCCACATCTAAACAAGATCTGACCACAGAGACATGACACTGCAGTAGCCAAACTACCAGTTTCATCACCTGTGGGCTTCTTGGTTACATTATTTCTGCTCCTTCCCATCTTCCTTCCCTAGGCACTTCTACAGGAGCAACAATTTTGAACAATTCCCATTCTCAGGAATGGATTCCTACCAAATGAGCTTCCCGTGCTCTTAGCATCATTGAAAATGTGATCACCGTGTGCTGCTTCATTCCAGCGCTGAAACTAAAATTCTTTTCCAAATTATTAGAGAGACAGTAATATCTTGCTTTTAGGGAAATTCAGTGACAATCAACCCTTTCTCCACATCCCTCACTCTAACATGTTATTAGAAAACATTAATATTTACGTAGCTGATCTCTTTTTCTTTTGACATCCACACTCTTGAAGCTAGTAGATATTTTGGGGTTATGTCAAACTTTATCAGATGCTTACATTGCTGCCAAAGGCATATTTATGCCTTGGCTTTATCCATTTTCATGTGACTGCACCTGATCTCAGTCTATCAAGTAATTCATAACGTTCTTTAAGCTAGATTATCCTCTGCTATTTTAGAATGGTTGAGGATGTCACGTTAAATTCTGGTACTTTCCTTTTTTTTCTAGGTTTGTTTTTTGCAGAGACTGGAGGGTTACAACTCACAGGCAACTGTGGGATTGCACTGGAGAATTCCTTAAAGACTGATGTCCTCTACCTGCCTATTAGCTCCCTGCAAAGCAAACAGATCAGAACCCCACAGAAAGCAGAAACCCAAGGGTTCAACCTACACTTCTACTTGTCCAAATGAGCTTGAGTAACAAGCACAATCCGGCAGGTGAAAGGGATTTTATCTAATGACCAGACGAGTATTTGAGGTAAAGAAAGAGTAGGAGATGCAACACCTCTAGTACTGATATGAACTCAGAAAGTAATGCACAAGAAGCGCTTTAACTCAATGACTAAAATTCCTTTTTTCTGCATTTTTAAAAAACACTTATTCCAAATTATAATAGTTGTCTGCAAAAACTGAGCACGGGGATTCCACAGGCCTCCTTTTGACTGACTTTAAAGCAAAAGATGCTACTTGCGTCATGGAAGTTAAAAAGAAAAGTATAGAATTTTTTAACTTTGGAGAAAATTGACAATACCGTGGATGAGCAAAGCAGACATCCCAGAGGAAGGAGAGCAAAATCCTCCAAGCTGAAAATACTTAGAAGGCTGGAGGTATTAGGAGGAAAAGAGTAATACTGTTTGCCTCGATCCCTAGCCATTAACTTATGGCCCACATGAAGAGAAGATGCTACGCTGGATAGAAGGCTGCTCTGAAGCAGCAGCAGCCAGTCCTTACATCCTCACAGCCAGAAAATGGCAAAACACAATTCCATCATAATGCAAACATCACCTCGGTTCTGTTAACATCAACATTTTCTGCTTCCACTGGCTCAGCTCTATTTGGTATTCATGTTCCTAAAGGAGGTCACCAGAATCTGGAGAGCTGTCACATCCTAATACGCATATTTTAAACATTTACGGTATAAGTAAGGGAAACTGCCAACAATTTACCTCAGCAAAGAAGTTAGCATGTTATGTGGAGTGATACTTTGATGTATGGCAATGAAGGTTCGGTTAAGGTATATTCAACTTCAACGGGGAAAGTCATTTGTTATGCTGCTCTTCCTGCACTGTGTTGGTAGGAATATAATAATTGC